TGCCACCCAGGTCTCCCACAAGGGGGGCACAGATGTAGCTGCAGCCTCTTGAGGTGTACGTTAACAGGAGTTGGATCAGAAGCAGAGCCGGGACTTGAAGCTGCCACACTTAATACCCTCCCTCCCTCTCTCCCTCCAGGCTGATTGAGATCTTTCTTTTGCTCATCACGGTCTGTTGTGGAAGCTTTCTTTTTAAAATTTTTTAATTTTCTTTTTAATATTGTTCACGTAATTGAGGAGGATGCATGCTCTGTGGGCCTCTGGTTAGGGTCGGGAGAATGTCAGGTATAGAGGAAGGTGGGTGGGGCACATGTCACAGTTTTTGTTTTTTTGTTTTTTCTCCTGTGTCCACAGGGGAGGAGGGGAAGTGGGGGATTTCTCACTGTGTTTTTTCTGAGGAGGGGGGGGTCTTCATTTGCAAGGTCTTCAGTCCTGTCACGTCTTGTTTTCCCACTTTTCATGCAGCTGTCCACCAGTATCATCTTGTATTTCTTGTGTGCCGTTGCGGTCATTCTTGTGAATTATCAGGCATCTCATTTCTCTCCTTTGGAGTCTGTGCTTTGAGCAGTCTTGTGTCTTTGGGTGTTGGCTTGCTAAGCTGCATTGACTGTAGTCTCAGTTGGATGCTGTGGTATAGTTTCCCTGGATTACCTTCCATTATGACTGGTGGCTGTGGTCGTAAGGATGTGGGGCACTCTTCTCAGCCCCAGAACTGGGCCTTGGTGGTAGTTTCTGGGGTGCAGTGGGGTCAAGGTCACAGGGGTGCTGGCCCTCAGGCCACAGATCTGGGGTCACAGGAAACTGGAGTGAAGGTTGGCAGGAGAACTGATCCCTAGCAATGCCAACCCCAGCCTTCCAGTATGACATAAGTCTGACTTTGGCTTCCGCCCCAACCTCCAGACGGCTCCCCACTGAGTCATGCTGCTGGAGTATGGGACAAGGCTAAGTCACACCTGGAGCCTATGGCCTGCCAAGGCCATCCTGGCAGGAAGGCAGGGTGAGGGCCCATAGTGCTATGGGCTGCCTGCCATTGGATAGGCCTGAGGCCCAAGGTCAGTGCACCCAGCCAGCCACACATGCTTACCACTAGCCAGGAACTGAGTCCTATCCTGAGTCCTCAGTTTTCTTCTTGGCAACAGCACAGGGGCAGAGGACCGTTCGGAGCTGCCCAGTGTTGGGGTTTATCAACCCAGCAGCAAACTCCAAGGTAACGGTCGCCACGTTCATTCTGCTGCTTTAACCCTAAGTGGCCAGTGACTCTCATGCCTGAGTCTCCAGCTCCTGGAGTCTTGCTCCTCCACTGGGTGCCATTGTGGGAGGCATAGGAGACATTCTCTGGCTAAGGAGGACCTGAGGGTCCTGGTCCCAGGAACAGGGGCCATGGTGTCCTTTGTGGTCCTGTGGCAGGCCCAGTGCTGGTTTTAAGGTGTGCTGTCTGGACTCCACTTTGCTCTGGCTCCCAAGCAGGTGCAGCCTCTCTTTGCACCACACAGTGCCGTGCTGGGGCGCAGGGGTGGGTGATGGCGCAGACAGCTCAGCTCCTTCCTTCCTACTGCCTTCAGTGCTGCTTTTTTCCCTTACTGTCCTGAAACCAGATGTTGTGTTCTCCCACCTGGCTCGCTTACTCAGCACATGTAAAGGTGAATAATGTGTGAATGGCCTTGCAAGGTGGTATCTGTGGGGGAGCAGCAGGGAACATCTGGGCTACTCACTCTCCACTTTGATGGTCTGTCCTGCTTACAAGTGAATTGGGCTTCATGAATTACTATATCTGCTTCTGTCTTCAAATTTAGGACATGTCTGGCTATTGTTTTAAAATAGATTTATTCATTTGAAAGGCAGAGGGGGGAGCAGGGAGAGGTAGAGAGAAAGCTTCCATCTGGTACTGCTCCTCAAGTGGTTGCAACTGGACCAGGCTGAAAGCAGGATCCAGGAAGTCCATCCTGGGTCTCCCATTTGGGTAAGCACTTGGACCATCTTCCACCGCTTTCCCAGGCATATTTGCAGGGAGCTGGAGTCAAAGTAGAGGAGCCAGGATTGGACTCCAGTTATGAGATACTGGTGAAGCAAACAACCTAATCCAATACATCATGACACCACTCCCACCACTGTGGGTTTTTTCTTTTTTTTAATCTGTAGCTCGTTTTGTTCCTCTTCTAGAACATTCCATAAGGTCCAGATGTACTTGGTGAGACTCCATACTTCTCTTGAACCTCTTCACTTTTCATTCTTGTTTCTTTGCTCTGACCTGATTTGCAGTGGCCTGTCTGCAGTTTGCTGGTTCTTTCTTCTGGGGAAGTCTGCTGATGGATCCCTCTTGTGAATACTTTCCATTCAGTTTTGAGTTTTCAACTCAATAAGTAGCTGCTGTTTTAGTGTCTTTATGATGTTCTTATTTTGCACTTTTTTTTTTCAGACTTCATTAGATTGTCTTTGTTGTCTTAGCTGGTTGAGCATTGCCAAGCTGGGTTAAATGCCTCACCACGGTGACTCAGAGGTCTTCAATTCCTTCAATTAGTTTCTGGGTACTTTGTTCCTGCAGTTGGGCCACATGGCCCATTCCTTTGTAGGCCTACCATCTTCCATTGAGATTTGGGCATGTGCAAAAGCAGCCAGCTCACCTCAGTCTGCTGATTGGCTTTGTGTCTGCAGAGACTTGACCTAATGAGTTTGGAAATTCTAGACCTTGTTAGTATTCTTCTGGGCGATGTCATCTCCAGGCCTGTGTGTTTCTGTTCTGGAGCCTGTTTTTCATGCTATTTTCCCATGATCTTTTTGAAGTATATTTGACTATGGCTTCCCTTAATGGCCTTGATTCCACTAAGGAGCTCACTCTGGCTGCCGGTCAGGAGCTGTTCAACTACCCTTTGTAGACCTCTGTCCTTGTTTGCTCCCCAATACTGCCTGTAGGACTAAACACTCCAGCCTGGTCTGATGAGCCTGCACACAGCAGCCTCCTGCTGGCATCCAAACCGTGCCACCACTCCCACTGGTACTCCTGGGTCATGGAAGACAGGAAATCCCACAGGCTGCTCCCAGACAAGCCAGAACCTATATGTATTTTTATTTTGCTTCCTCAAAGGAGCAGCTGGGAGTTGGGATGAGTCCCCCCACTCACTAGATTGTGTTAGGTATAGCGAGCCAAATGCCCTGAACTTTCCTGCCCTCTTCTTGCAGCTTCCTGCTGGTTCTGCCTTAGGCCCAGGACTGTGGTCTCCCAATTGGCTTCTAGTTCTTACAGAGGCACCTGGGTCCATGGAAGATGAGGACAGAGTTTGCTAGTCTGCCATCTTGCTGATGTAACTCCCCATCTCCCTGAATTTTACTATCTCCCGACAGCCCCAATCACCAATATGCTAGTCAGTGCTCAGACTATCTTGTTGATGGAAGACACGGTTGTCAAGCTGTGGTAACCTATTGCTTATCTGTTGACAGAACCAAAAAGTATTCAAAACTGATTTGGAATAACTAAAAATAACTAAACTCTCAGAAGAATAAACACTCCTTCACTTTGTGAAGTTGTATCTAAACAATTGGGAAAAAAGATAGGTTTGGAACTTAATCTAGAAATATTTTCAGGATTCTTTTAGATAACATTCTTCCTCTGAACAGAGAGGCTTCTGACATCACTTTAGAGCATTCTGTCTTTCCCAGTTATTTTGGAAACTGTTTCAAGAGATTACACAGTGACAGTAGAAATCCTGAATGTTGACTTTTGAGAAAACATTCAGAGTAACAGGAAACACCTGTTGCATGGGAGGCACTGAAACATCAGCTTTGTATCCCATACACTTCAAGTATAAACACCCTTTGTTACTCATTGAAATTCTCATTTCAACTTCGGCTTTCTCAGTGATTGCAGGCATTAGTGAAACAAGACCGCAATCTATTAAGCTTGTCTTGTGATCAATCTGCTGGTTGGAATCTCTTACTAGAAACCGTGTATTTTCTAGGCAACATATGGAGAATAAAGGGTGGAAGGAGGAATGCAATTTGAAGTCTGTCCAGTACTAAGTTATTTGTTGGGCTCACCCGCCTGCCTTTGGTGGGATAATCTGGCAGCAATGGCATGCTGCAATTCAGTGTGTAGGACCATGCATCTACTACTGCTGGCCAACAAGACACAGATTTCTTTAAATATAACCAAGATGATATTCTGTTACCAAGGTGATAGTTTGGTCCTCTCCCTAGGCTATCCTACACAGGCTAAGCGTGGCCCCCAGATTCATGCATAGTTGCAACCTTGATTCTTTCTTGCAGCAGTGTTAGGAAAGGGGCTTAAGAAGGAGGTGCCAGGGTCATAGGTTAACTGTTTTTGTGGGAATATGAGCTGTCCCCTGGGCTTTGGGCACCTCTCTGTCTACCACGGATTTCCTTTTTTTTTTTTTTTTTTTACTGGAGTTGAACTGGCACACACCCACCACAAGAGGTAGCTGCTGGGTCTTGGACTTTGTAGCCTCTAGACTGAGCCAAAATAAACCACATTTCTTTGTAAATTACCACATCTCAAGGAATCTGTTATAGCAACAGAAATCAGGCTAACATAGCAGCCATGAGGGCAAACATCTCCTCAAAACTGTGCCTACACACTCATAAGTAGGTGGACACCACACCTGAGCTCAAGATTGACTTAGCTGTGAATGTAATTGAAGCCGATGTAGTAACTATGTCTAGTAGTTTGACAGTGTCATTTTCTAAATTCTATAGTCTCTCCCCAATGAGTCTTTGTTTCTAATAAAGCTCAATTATAATTCTTAAGGTTTTTTTTTTTTCTTAAAGGCACAGGAATGGGTCTGTTGTAGTCATTTCCAAGACAAAAATGGTCTCAGGTAAGCTCCTGAACAAGGTGGCCCTCTGTGTGTCTTAAGTACAGTTGCTGGAGTCCTGCTTTTTACGAGCTGTCTCTGAAGACAGCAGTGCGTGTGAAACAAGGCAAACTCGCTACTGCTTCTAAGTGTGAGGGCCGAAACTTCCTAAGAGACTGAGACAGCAAACGAAACTGGAGAAAAATTATTCTTTATTGAAAAATACTGATAATACTGACTTCAAAAGCATTTCACGTTTCCAGAATACAAAGTACTTAATACATTTTTTCCAAACCTGTATTTCAAACAAAGTTAGCATTGTTTTTGTAAATCAATTTGATAACCTGACTAAAAATATTTTCCAGCTTTAGTTTTTCAGGAGCTGCACACCCTTTGAAGCAGTGGCCCACCAGGTGGGCAGGGGCAGAGGGGTGCTGTGCCCTGGGGCTGTGCAGCAGTCTACAGGAATGTTCCCCACCAGGGTGGTGCCAGAAACATAGCTCCTGCCTGAAGCAGCACCCCTTCAGTGTCAGAGAACCCCATAGGCCAGCCGAACACAAGACAGCCAGTTTTTCTTAGAGTGCACATACTTTAAGATTACTGTTCTGAACATCTTAAAGAATGCTGCTGTAATTTAGTTATCATTCAATAACTCTGAATTAAAACTTTAAAGAACTGTTACCATCAAAATGGTCTTTGCTGAGCAGTAATAATTCTAGCTTTTTTTTTAGATGCAAAAAAATATTAACAGATCTGCAAGTTTAATTTGAAACCACACAAATTATGTATGAAGGCTCAGATAGTAGCAGTGTTCATGTCTATTACTAATAGCTTAACTGGAACAGCCATCTGTTCATTCCACCAGCCAGAATAGCAGCACCAAGGTCTTCTAGAATTCTTTATACATAAAGCTTCCGTCATGATCCAAGTCCCTTTCTTCACATGCTCCAATTCTTGTGATTTGACGTAGAAGCATCAGGGTCTGGAGAGTTACTGCTGGCTGCATTACAGCAGCTGTACAGCATCTTGTACTGTCAGGAAGCAAAACACTGGCAGCAGCAGCTCTTCTTCACAGCTCTGCACTTGAAGCTGCCTAGCGCTCACTGCTCGCACTGGCAGTGGTATATTTCCACAGTAAAATAGCAGAAACTAAAAGAATCGTGGCACAATGGGTTTCTTAATTCTTTATCTACCATTGGTCCTGGGGACGTGGCACTTTCCCCTTGAAGATACCTCAGTTGATCATTTCCAGAATAATCTTCAGTGGAGGAAAGGCTTCAGGTCATATAGCGTGTGATGGCTCTTAGAGCATAAAGGAGTTCTGCTTGCATCCTAGCTTCTATAAGAAGCAGATTAACATGAACCTGAACATGAAATACAACAGCATGTGAGGGTGGGTGGAGGCACAGTCACAGTGCATCTAATGAACATACAGATAACAGCACGGGTGGTTCCCCAGTATCCATAACTGGTCCCAGTACCCTCTGCAGACAGGGACATCTGTAGCTGCTCACCTCTCTTGTATGGGCTAGACAGGGACTCCCCACCCATTCTCTGTAATGTCATTCTGCCTCTAGCTTACTCCTAACAGAACGGTTTTTGATAAAATTCATGGAAGATGGGTATTCTGAAGAAACCTTGTAGTTTGCAGAAAATTTTGCTCCAGATGAACTTCTGATTAGTTCCACCACTTTTCCAGGTACCCTTGTCCAGTGTAAATCCCATATAAATACTTGTCATGCTATATTGCTTAGGGACTAGTGCAAAGAGTCCGCACGTGTCCAGTGGTTGACACTGCGGCCAGCTGGATGGTCTCCCTGCGGAAAGAGGGGGCTGACTGTGCTTTCTGTGTCCTATACACTAGCTTGGGCATCTTTGATCTCTCAAAACAAAATCTGTCTGCTGTTCTTTCTGGTGGATGATCTGAGCCTTCATTCCCATCAGTTCCCTCTCTTGGGAGACTGGTGACACTACTTTGTGACAACAGCAGCTTTCCCGCCGAATCATCCTTCACTCATTTCTACAAAGGCACTTCAAAGAGATCAGAGCTTTTTGATTCTACTAGGTAACTTTCAGAATGAAAAGAAGTTTATTTTGGAGCAAAGCAAATTCTGAAATCCATCTATAGTTTCTCCATGAATTTTTCTGAAGAAAACTCCCCCCCTCCCCAATTAAATGGATGGACTGCAAAATATTTCTGCACCAAAATAAATACCTGTTAACTATGTTTCCCACAAACTTGTTGTGGCATCTAGGGAGTAAGCCAGCAGATGGAAAAGTCTGTCCATCTGCCTTTTAAAGCAATTAAAAATTCTATAGCAAAGCAGTCTTTCTCCTGAATAGCAGCTCTTAGAGGATAGAGGCAGCGGACAGACTACTCCCTTGCAGGGGTAAAGTGAGAGCCACTGTTAGGTGGAGGGGGAGCAAGACTCAGGGCTAAGTCAGAGTAAACAAGCCACAGGCAGGTACCTTCTCAGAGTGCTTGAACTGCCTCCAGAAGCTGTCATACATTCTTTTGGTAACCTTTTCAGGAGTGCAAACAACAGTTTTGATATAAACTTTAAAGCTACGATCCAAAAGCTGGTTAATTTCACCATAGTCATAGTCGTCATATCTGTTAAAACACAAAGTGGAAAGAACAAGGTTTTCACTGTCTGTCTTCTGGTGTATTGTCTGTTTTCTTCCAGTAAGAGTATATGTGTTAGAGCAAAGGCTGTTTCCTTGTCCTTCTCTGCGTAGGCAGTGATTGCCAACAAGGACACAGCTTCCCAGTGTTTAAGTAGGGGTGGAAAGTGAGTGGGAAGTGCCCGAACAAACCGCTGCTGAAGGCTGACTTGCTGGCCACCTTGGCAGTAGTGTGTATTCACATCATGTGCTAGCAGCCACACTGATGAACAGATTCTGAAAACAGAGCTTAGGATTACTGCTGTAAGAAATTAGCAAATTATTTATTGCTTTGATAATTACCTACTATAAAAGAGTTGGCCAATTCATTGTTTTCAGGAGTTTCTGGGGTCAGAGGAGGAAACATTCTCAGGCAGGGCGTGCTGGCCTGTGCATGAGCTCGACATCGACACTCAGGAGTGGCTGCCCTGCTTTAAGCCAGGTCCCTCACTGGGTTGCCTATGGAATTTGTCAGTGGAAAAGGGGGGTGAGGGGAGGTCCTTGCACAGCTGGCCCTACAACCATTCTGGGGACTGAGAAGTCCTGCCATTGATGATGGAAATCAATTTCCAATTGGTCCAATGTGCCTGTAGTGCTGCAGCAGTTTAGAGTGGGTTAAATGGAATTTGTAGAGTTTGGCCAGAGTCACTGATGAAATGAACAGCAAGAACAGCTTGCATTTTTGTAGCAAAGAAAACTGAACAGAAAGCAGTGCAGCAAGGAGCTCGGGTACACGAGAAAGGGATCCTGCTGTATTTTCTTAGGTAACATGTGGCTGAGCATGAGCACCTACCAGGGCAGACATGAAGCACTGCACTGGGATGGGAGAGCTGAGGGGATATGAGCACACCACTCAACATGCACAGTCTCAGATCTGGTGCGGACAATCTTTGCTGGGCTGCTTGCCTAGAGATGGCAACTGTAACTCTTGTCTCTGTCCCTAACACTCTGTGCTGCCCAGCCAGGAGACAGAAAAACAACTCAGCTGCAGTGGAGTGGTTCTGTTAAGCCTAAGAAACAAAAAATAAGTTCCTGGGGAAGGGGTGGTGGTGGGCTTCTGTTGAAGAGTGTGTTATACATGCCTAGAGAAGAGTAGCTCTTTATAAACATAAGGAAATAGACTAACCTTATTCCAAACATGCAGTGAATATAGTTCCAAATAGCCCGTCTGAGCATTGAGGTATCAACATCTTTGTGCATTGCCATTGTGTTGTAAGTAAGATTGTAAGCGATGTGAAATTTTTCATCAATCAACTGTCCCACATCAGGATAAAGACGATTTACCAGAGAATACCCGTGGTCTTCCCAGCAATAGTCCTGAACACAGGGGTAGGAACACATGGGAGTGAGCAGAAGGTGCCAGGTACAGTCAAGCCCTCCCTGCAGAACGAGGCTTCCCTACTCCGACCTTCCCATGCAATCCTGTCCACATACAGCAACACAGGGAAGATTACAGTTACAAAAAGCTGAAAAACCAGAGGGGGCCTCTCAAACCCAGTGTAATGACTGCAGAATCCGCTGCCAGCAGAGCTCCATTGCAAGAGCCCTCTCTTCTTTTCCCATTACTAGAGCCATTCAAATGGTCCTCCGATTTTTTGAATCTAGTTCAACCCATCCATCGCTTATTCCTTCTTGTCTAACTTAGAGCCTTTTTCAGTGAGTCTCTTCTTGCATAAAATCTCACCTGTTTTCACCTCAAAGAAAATGTAGTAGATTCTGACATTACTCTGCTTAATTTCTTAAAATATCTATGGCATTGTCAAAATCTACAAAAAGATACCTCACATTAAGGCACGCCTGATGTCAAACTCCTTTAGCACTACTAGGGCAGCGGGGTTCCCTGAATTTCTCAGGAGCCCTGCTACTCTTTCTCATCCCCCTTCTCACTCTATTCTTCATCCTAAATTCAGTCATTGCCTATATTCTCCTTTGCTTATGATGCCCTGTGTTCTGACCACCCAAACCGCAACCTTCCTCTGTAAAATTTCTGACCTGTACTATCTCTTCAATTTCTGATCTACTATATTTCATCAGCACAGTTAAACTATTAAGGACAAATATTCCATAACATCCTTGTGCCTAAGTTTTGTCCCTCTTAAATAGCATCTTAGTTACTTAAACAGAACGTGATAGTTCTCAAATGTTATAATTCCGGAAAACTGTTTATTTAAATTGGTCTCTAGCAATATTTACCTAAAAATACTTAGGCAAAAATCCCTGAAGGCATATATTCAAACTACAGTATGATTCTAATGATAGACTGGAAGTAGTCTTACAAAACTGGGGCACAGAGACTAGATAAATATTTGCTATTTAACTGATGGGTCACAATCCGTATTCTCCAACTAGAGGGCACAGCAACTGCTATCCTTGAGGTACTTCCTGCAAGGCAGCACAGCCCAAGTCTAGATGGTTCTTCCTTACTTGAAGCCCAATGGGGCCACTTTTAATCAGTCATGCTTATACAAAGACTTGTAGCTCTACCTGGACCCGAAATGTTGGAACGTGCATCCCATGTCGTGAGAAATCCTTATAGCCGTAACTAGTGTCCTCAAAGTGACGAGACACGTCTCTTGCCGGTGTAACTTCTTCATCATCTGCAATGATAATCAACCCATTGAAAGCTTTTCCATAACAGATGCTAATTAAAATCTGTCTTGCCCATAACAGGTATAAATAGGATGAGCCCTTCTCTGACACTGAGGAACCGATACCGGCCAAAACAGTCTGGAAAGTATAGAAAGAAATAGCTCACTTGTCAGTCAACAGTGCACTAAGAGGAGAGGCACTGTTATTAAATCAACACTGAGAGCCTCCACCGCTCCCTTCCAGCTCTGACAGATGTTCAGGAGTAGGAACACCTTAATGGCTGATCCTGCTAAGATCAGCTGTGCTTCAAACCCGGATGTGTGATGCTGTTTCCTTGAATGTTCATGCTACATGATGCACAGTAAGATCACAGACAGCAGCCCTACGAGGAAGGTAACCTTTTGACGGTGCTTGCTGCACCGCCTCCGTGCCCTTCTGGACCGTCGTCATGTCTAGGAGCTGAGAAGACTGCTTTCGTAAAGACAGCATTATTTCCGACTTCAAATGTTCAGGCACAGACGGAAACAAAAACCTTTCCTCAAGGAAAAAACAAGCTCACTCCCAACTTCTATAGAGAAGCCTAACACAGAGGAACCTAACATGGCTTGGGGGAAAATGGTGCTTTTAACAGTTATACTCTTTGCTTCTATTATTGTTAAAATATATTGGGAGATAATTTATGAACTTTTTTTCTTTCTAAAAAATCTTGTGGCCTATATACAGATAAGGGTTTTAAATAATTCAAGTCACTGGTAACTTACTAGTTTTTTTCAGAATCATAGAATTTTAAAGCTGAATGCCATCTAGGGGCTTTATGAACTGATTCTCTTCATATTAAAGCAAAGCATGAACACTGACATTTTTGGATTGAGTTTGGCACCAGCACCCAAGCCCTGTTGGCTATGTAATGGCTGCTGTTACCTGAGGAGAAGACAAACATGCTCTCTCTCTTTTCTATTTCGAAACGCGAGGCCATCTCTTCTTGGCTTGCTTCTTCTTCATCACGACATTCCTGTAACTGCTTCATCTTTTCCATGAGGGCTTCAACTTCAAAGAAGGAATCACTTACCTAAAAAGAAAGCACAATGTTATAGAGGGCAGACACAGGTTGAAACTGATGGGTATATTATCAAGCCTTGCTCATAGAAATTATCTTATAAAATGGAGAAAACATTTTCTTATAATTGAAAAACTTGATTTTTCTCTATTTGAAAAGCAAAGATACAGAAACAGGCACAGATCTGGTATTTGGAGGTTCACTGCCCAAATGTCCACCAGCAGTCATGGCTGGGCCAGGCAGAAGCCAGGAATCCAAAGACTTGGGCTACCACCTGCTGCCTCCTGGAGTGCACATTAACAGGAAGCAGGCTGGGACACACACCAAGCACTGCAACAGAAAATGGGGGCACCCCACATGAGAGCTTTACGACTGTGCCACACATCTGATTTTCATGTATATGAATTAAAAATAACAATTACCTTAGCTTGTCTGGGGCCTGCATTGTGATGTGGGTAAAGCCACTGCCCACAACACTGACATCCCGCATGGGTACCATTCTGTGTCCCAGTTCCTCCACTTCTGAGCCAGCTCTCTGCAGATGGCCTGCATGTTTGGCCAACGGCCACCCACACGGGAAACTCGGAGGACACTTGAGGCTTCTGGCTTCAGCCTGAACTAGTGCTGACCATTGCAGCCAGCTGAAGAGTGAGATCTGGAAGCTCACTCTTTCTCTGTCAAATAAATAAGTAATTTTTTTAAAGATTTATTTTTATTGCATATATGCAATGGCCGGAGCTGCTCGAGCCTCTTCCGGGTCTCCCACACTGGTGCAAGGTCCCAAGGCTTTGGGCCATCCTCGACTGCTTTCTGAGGGAAAGGGAGCTGGATGGAAGCTGAGCTGCCGGGATTAGAACTGGTGCCCAAATGGGATCCTGGCACGTTCAGGGCAAGAACTTTAGCCCCTAGGCTATTGCGCCAGGCCCCAAATAAATTAAAAAAATTTAAAAGTCAACTTCTACTTACTCAGTTAAATATACCAAGTGTTAGGTGACAGTATGCCCAGTGAGTGCATTAGTTCCAAGGGCATATTGTCTGTCACCTATGTCCAATATCTTTAAAATAGTAATCTGTTCTACTTACATAATTGAAAATGAAGCATATTCTTACATGGCTAGGGCTGGCCACTTGACTTCTGGAAATGAGGCAGCTGTCACTCTCTGGGATGAGTATGTAAGGGGTCCGATATATGAGAGGACTGGGTCCAGGTAGCTTGAAGGACAATGATACTGGTGGTACATAGAGCACAGTGCTCTATGATCAAGGCTAGAAACATTATTTTTGCCTGCTAATTTCATCCTGCAAATGCTACTTATTTAGCACCTGATAAATGCAAAATGTCGAACAAGATATTTTGCCTTAGAAATGTTTCTTTTGAATCTACAGTAACTTTGCGTGTCACATTTAGATATGAAAGAACTGAGGCTGAGAGAGGTTCAGTGACTTGCCTGACTTGGCTTCACGAGAATTAATACAGCTGAGGAAACATTTGCAAAGTGTTCAGATGATGCGATGCTAGCTCTGTGTTTTCTCTTTTGCAGTATAAAATAAAACCCTGCTTCACACTTAAGCCAAAGAATGCAGAGGGAATTTAGATTCACTGCATACAGGAACTGAATTTTGCTTATAGACCATTCAACTGGTTCTGTTTTAGAGAAACAACAAAAACTTAAGGACATAAAAAAAAAAAAGCCAGAGGGGAGAAGGAGTAAGGGTGAAAGCATTTTAACAAACTTACTTACACTGATATTACCTTGTATATTTGTACAAAGTTCAACGGGAAAAATTTGAAAGGGAGAAACTTTCCAATAGAAGTTGTTTAAATCTTCTAAAATAAGAACAACCGAGAAGTCGGCCTTTCTCATTTGTGCAAAAGGGAAGAAATGGGATATGACTGGCATCCCAAAGATGCCACCACTGCCAGGTCACACTGTTTGCTGCCTGTTTCCCGCCAGGGCATTGCAGTCACCAGTCACTTTGTAGCTGGCACTGGTAGGCTCATGCTGTTGGCTCCTGATCCCAAATTATTTGTAATCTTCTGGGGGTAGGGAATCTCATAATTTTGTATATCTCATAGCAACTAGTGACAGGCTTTCATCTTAATAAATATGCAGAGGGGCAGAGTGTATCCATGGATTTAGTAGGGTGGATTTTCTAAGAAGCCGAAGGAAGAAATATCATAGTGATTATTGTAATTAGTCTCATAACAAATAATACTTACCGAAACATTTCCTGCTGAGTTGACCTGCATCTCATCCACACTGTGATTGCCATTTGTAATGTCACAGATGCAGTAGTTACCCAGAGAAGGAGGTCTGAATGTGTGGCCACCGTCACAATGAATTTCTGGACTGATTCCACAGCCGAATGTGAACGAAGCAAGAGAATGGTAGTGTGTGAGCAGAACCACTGCGTGGACCAGTTCCGCAAGGGACCAGCTGTGTTCCTCAGCTTTTAAGAGTCCCTTAAGAGGACAGAAAAAAAAGTTCTTTCATATTGGTGTGGTAAAAGTATAGAGTTCATCTTAGTTCATCAAAGATAGGATTAGTGACCATACAAAGCCTAGCGTAAAATTACAATTCAAAACAAGCAGACGCTGTAATTTGCTAATTCATGAAAATATATTCATGAACAGAGCTTAACATGTTAATGTAACACGTTATTTTGATTTTTCTGAAATTCTGGCTTAATTTATAAATGTACTGGAATACATTTTGGTTAAGAGCAACTGCTGCATTTTAGTTTACTGGATAATGATGGAATGCCTATGTTGTTAGTTTAAATTCTCAAACCAAATGTAATAAATTTGTGTTTTAAAAACAGGCTACCATGTGAGTGCCATGCTTTGTTTATTATTGGGCTTTCCTAAGGAATTTTTGTCATGGGCCTTGAACATCTTCACTCAATATTCCCAAGTCACCAAATTAAAAGTTAAACATATAAGTGATTTTGAAAAAATAGAATTTGTGCATCTTCTGCTTCATTATCCATTTTACCATTTTATTTTCCTTGCCTGAAAATATTAAGACATTATATTAATCATATTCAAATTGTATATCTTCATAATTATGTAACCATTATATAACAATCTATTAGAAAGTTTTCTAAGAAAGATAAGACCAAAAAAGATGTGTTTTCAGAATTTCTACTGCATGGTAGACACAGCAGAGAATATGAACCCACTGTTTGTTGACTTTTTAAATAGAGGGAACTAGTTTAAGATGGCATTTTAAAAATAAAGATGCACCACAGTGAGATGCCACATCACACTTCTTAGAAGGGCTTTAAAATCCAAAACACCTGACCCCAGTGCTGGCAAAGATATGGAATAACAGGAATGCAAACTGGTAAAGCTACTTTGGAAGACAGTTTCATAGTTTCTTCCAAAGCTAAAAACAGCCCTCCCATGTGATCCAGCGGTCACATTCTTATTTATCCAAATAAACATAAAGGCCTGCCCACAAATGGATATAGCAGCTTTATTCATAACTGCCCCAAACTGGCAGTAACCAAGATGTCCTTTAATAGGTGAATGGGTAAACAAGCTGCCACATACCCGTCTCTTGGAGTGGTTTTTAGAGATAAGTGAGTTGTCAGGTCCCACAAAGTTGCCAGGCAGGGGTGGGGGTGGACTTTAAATGCGTAGTGCTAAATGAAAGAGGCCAATCTGAAAAGGCTGAACACTATCCATCTACCTCAATGACATTCTGGAAAAGGAAAATTATTGTGGGAGGCAATCAAAAGGTACGTTGTTAAAGGGTTTCAGGAGGAAGGAAAGAGGGCTGAATTGGTGGAGTAGGAGGCACTCACTGACAGGCAATGACTATTAAGTAATTTGTATGACACTGCACCTGCCAGAACTCAAAGACCTGTACAAGGTGGAGTAAACTAGGGGGAACCATGGGCTCCTAGTACTCATAAAATGTCAGCACTCCTTCATCTCTTATAACAGATCTACCACACTAACCCTACGTGGTAATAACATGAAACATGTGTCTTAGAAGCTACCTTTTGTACACCCAAAACTGCTCTTAAGAAAGTCTATTAAAAGTGGCTTTTGAAAATGGCAGCTGAGACGCATTACTTCATTACTTACCTCAATGTGTTCTTTGGTAATAAGCCAGGGTCTGTGGGCTAAAACTTTGTTGAGTTCTCCCAAGTTCTGCAGTTTGGGAGGAGCATTCTCTAAGCCATTGAGCCACTTGGGGTCTCCGCCGACGTGCAGGAAGTCACTCACATGCAGGTTCACCAGATAGGAGCACCGATGTCTCGCTGCAGCCTTAAGAGAAAGCAAAGATCATGACATGAGGCTTCGTAACAGTGAAATCCCAAACACTACAGATATTTCCTTCTGTAAGTGTACAAAACAGCTCGCTGTGCTGTTAGTTATGTTTTCAGATTTTCTATAAACTGCATAAATGCTGCTTTTAGGTTAGCATTTAAAGAAAAACAAAAACACCTCAGAGAGTAGTTCAGAAATATCGCAAGAACAAAGTATCTAATAAAAAGTATTTGAACTTTAGAAATTTTCACCTATATTCTACCTTTCAGAATCTCACATCAAGAGACTTCAATTAAAATATCATTTACAGATCAGATAGGTTTGACACCAATTTTTGTCAATATAAACTATGTATAGTAATAAAACAGGTTTTTCATTCTATTGTATCTTAATAGCCAGTCTTTCAGAACATTATAAATGTTTTTCTGTTACATCAGAAAGTAAACTTATTTAAACAACAGAGACTAACAGGAATCCTAACACAAGTAGGAATATGAGTATTTATTCCTGTGGCTAAGTACTAGCTATATCTTAGACCAATAAAAGCTGAAATGATTTTTAGTGAGTTTACAAACCATTATTCCGATGTAGTGCCGATAATGGAGGGGTAGTGGGCCATCCATCTGCAGTAGATAGTGTTGAGTTTTTAAGAAACTTTCTAAATATTGTGGGTGGAAAACCATCACTAATGTGATGTTATCCAAACGACCCAAAGCAGCAAAGGAATCCGCAAATAAAGCATGCATCTGTGCGTCTTCACTCCCCACTTGGAGAATCTGTATAAAAGAGAAAAACCACGGTCATGTAAGTTGCAAGTTTTAAAGAAAGAAAATAGGTGTTGACTGAATCCTAAGCATCATTCAGAAGCAGATTAAATTTGGTTTAAGAGAACAGGATTAACATTTACACTCAACTGGTAGCAAGATTTAAAAAAAAAAAACAGGTTATCACATACTAAGTATTATACAGTAGGGTCTGAACAACAGAGGTTGAACTTAAACACCACTTAGATACTTGGCTGGAATCTGGACAGAGAAGCAGATTTAGACTGTCAAAATTGCAGAGCTTGCAGAGACAACTAAAGGCCATCCTTACGCTACCTACTTCACTCAAGTGAGACGGAACCCAAATACTCAGCAGTGATTTTGAAAACCAGAGCAGAGCTGCTTTTACATATACAGAATTACAGATGGGATTCAGTGCACGTAACAACCCATGGAGATGGTCAAGGCTAAGTATCTCAGTGTACTGGCGAATCTAAATGACATCCAAATGTAAGTGGATGGTGTATTATTGGTTGAAACAGCCTTGGATTTACTTAATGGAACATGGGTGTCAAAGAAGCACCATGAAATACTAGAAATCAACACAAGTCCAGCAGCTTTCCAATCGTGTAGATTCACTGCCAGAAAGTGATTAACTATGATCTGCTCTGTGTGAAACATGTTGTTGATCAACAGCTGCTCCGATGCCAAGATGTGGGTCATGAACATTTTCCTTAAAAGCATACAGTTCACTCTGTACTTTACAAACAACATACCTCCTTTTCTGGGATGAATCGGCTTGGTCCGTGTCCTAGTGGTCGAGGAATTCTGATTCCAAGTTCCTAGAAAAGAAAATTACACCATCGTAAGTCTCCAGCAGTAAACAACATGAACTCTGAGAGTACAGGAATGGGAGGAAAAAACAACCAGTTAACTCAGAGACAGGCTTGTTTTGGTGGTTTGTTTTCATGGCCATATATACATACCACTCTTCTATTTGCATCACAGAGCTAAGAACAGCTTAGAACACAACTGACTTAAAACAATCAAACCTGTTTCACTAAAACCAGAGTTTTGCATAAAGTACTTGGCAGAAAGTCTAGAACAGAAAGTTCAGCACACAGCAGCCAACCCTGTGGGTTGTCAGAGAGACAAAATAAGACTAATGTGTTTGTACATCTCAAACTCAGCCAAATACCAAACCCTGTGCGTCTTGAGGAACTGAAGAGGCAGCATCTCCACTTTGCTGCCTTGACCTGGAAGAAGGGTAATTACTATGACAGCCAGAGGAAGGCCTCATAGAAAGGAGGCCTCAGTAACTGCTTAAGTTGACAAAAGAGAATGTATCACATGGCCTGTGTCCCTGATTTGTAGAATAATTTCAGAGATAACTCATTCCATTTTCAAATTTTCCATCAATTAAGCTTTGTATGTATGGGACGCCATCTACTTCGTTTATATTTTAGAAATGCTTAAGCACTTCAGAGTAATGGTTTCAGGCCTTTAACAGCTGTCTACAACACTGTACTTCATGCCGTCAATGCAGCGTGGTCAACAAAAACCGGATAAATGGGGTTCCTGCCAATACACATCCTGTATGGTGTGCTATGGAAATATACGTATGTAACATACATATAATTCACCTTTCCCTACTTTTTGAAATTTATATCCTATTCATCTTGTTTTAGTAAGTTAACACAAGAACAAACATATAATTACATAAAATATTATTTCTATTTTTCTCCTACTGTTCACAAAGGTTCTTCATGATATAAACCAGATGCCTTCCTTCTAAAGAAAAAAGGGAAAGAGCAACAGAGAAAAATACATGTTGCAATAGTTCAAGAAATCTGGTCCAAGTGAATGAAAACTTTTTGAAAACAAAATGGAGTTTTAAAAATTAGGCAGGACAAAATTTGAGAGAATCTTCATTAGAAGAAGCCAAGACTCAAGCTCAAAGGTGGCTATGGTCGCCAAATGAATGCATGAAAGAATAAATCATTCAGCTAATCTTACACTGGTTTACTCTGGTTATTCCATATTTATACAGAAGACAGTAATGTTTTAATGTTATATTCTTCATCAGAGGAGGCAATTAATTCACTAGTCTGGCCATGGATGTATCATGATTTTGATATCCAATAAAAATATCATTGCCAAAGAAATCATTTACATAAAATGATGCCTTTCAAATTGCTGGATAAAAATAAAAATAAAAACAAATTACCTGAAAGAAGATAAGGGGGAAAGAGACTGTTACTGATTTCCCATCTGTAGGTTTACCCCCCAGCTTCCTGCAATAGTCATAGGCCAGGCAGAAGCCAGGAACTCAATCTGTCTCCAACATGGGTGCCAGAGCCCCAGCTACGTGAGCTCCCACCTACGTGCTACCTCCCAGGGTGCACATTAGCAGGAAGCAGAACCAGGACTCAAGCCCAGGCACTCAATGAGACGGGGGGCACCTTAACCTAACCACTAAGCCAAATGTTGCCCCCTACATACATTTAAAAAAAATTATGTATTTGAAATTCAGAGTTAGAGAGGGGGTAAAGAGTGAGATTGAGAGAGAGAGAGAGAACCAGAGGGTGAGCTGGCAAGGGAAGGGGGAGAGAGAAAGGTGGGTAGAGTGTGCTTCCATCAAATGGCTCATTCAATGATGGTTCCAATGGCCAAGAATGAATCAAGCAAAGGACAGGGGAAGCTTCTGCTTCTGGGTCTCCCAAGAGAGTGCAAAGGCTCAAACACTTGGGAGCCATCTTCCACTGCTTTTCCCAGGTCATCAGCAGGGAGCTGGACTGGAAATGGAGTAGCCAAGACAGGAACCAGTACCCATATGAAATATCAGCAGGCAACAATACCTGCTACACCACAATGCAGCCCCTCCTATATACATTTTGAACATAGTATATGGCAAAACTGACTAACAACATTTATCCCATCTCATTTCTTTAATCTTTGAAAACACTGTTTTAAGAGATTGTCACTCACTTTTATAACTAAGGGTCACTACATTTGGCACGTCAGTATTCTTTCAAACAGGACAGAACTGGATGTGATGTAGGGACAATTGGAGAGCCACTCAGAACAAAGTAAATTTGGAGGCCTAAATCACACTTTACTCAATTAAACATGAAAAAAAAAAAGCCAAAACACACACAAACAAAAAACCCTACAGTACTAGGAGAAAACACTCATGGAATGGGATAGACCTAAGGAATGTCAGAAAGCTCAGAAGGAATAAATTATATGGTCAATAAATTTGATGACTTAAAAATAAACATAGGCCCAATGCAATAGTCTAGGGCCTAAATTGTACCCTTGCCTGCACTGGTTCAAGTCCTACCTGCTCTATTTCCTACCCAGCTTCCCTGCTTGTGGCCTGGGAGGACAGTGGAGGATGATCCAAAGCCTTGGGACCCTATACCGGCATGGGAGACCCAGAAGACACTCCAGGCTCCTGGCTTCAGATCAGGTTAGCTCCAGCCTTTGCAGCCACTTAGGGCGTGAACCAGCAGAAGGAAGATCTTTAATCTCCTTCTCTTTGTAAATCTGACTTTCCAATAAAAACAAATCTTAAAAAAAAAAGGGCAATACAAATAACAGGAAAAATCTCCTGACACTTTTAAGTAAACAACTTCACATTAACTATATTGAGGTAATATTTTCTCCAACAAGACTGCTTAAAAGCAAAATGTTTGACATCAGGCTTGTTGGGAGTAGGTGGAGAAATATTCACTCATTGTTTATACATCATTGAAGGAAGCGTCTAACGTGTGAGGGGGAAGAAAACATCAAGAGTCTGAGTGTTAGTTATGGGACCAGCACTGTGGTATAGCAGGTAGGGCTGCCACCTAGGATGCTGGGGTCCCACAAGGACCCCTGTCTGTGTCTCTGCTGTTCCACTTCTAAGCTAGGTTCCCGTTAATGCCCCTAGGGGAAACAGTGGAAGGTATCTGGGCCTTTACCACACACGTGATTCCTGCTGGGCACAGCTCTGGACACTACAGTCATTTGGATGATCAGTAGTTTGAGGCTCTCCTATGGCTGAATGATGTTTTATAAAGAGATTGAATTATGTTTTTCCCCCTATACCAAATACACTTTACGCAGCAAACTTTTATGTAACAACAGTTTCAGAATTCTAAATTAGTGGTTATAAGGACTTCAAAAACTGAATATACTGCATATATAAATGAGCTATACTTACGTATAGGTTTAACAAGGGCCTTTTCCAAGGACTCTGAATAATTCTCCAGTCTTTGTAAGATCAGCCCTATGGCCAAGGTGAGTGGCTGTGTCAGGAGCACTGTCTCCTATCTTCCCTAAGTCTTCCATCATTACACCTTTCTTTCCTCATTCCTTTTAAAACACATCCTTTCTTGCGACCAGCACTGTAGTATAAAGGCACTGCCTGTGATGCTGGCATCCCATATGGGTGCTAGTTCAAGCCCTGGCTGCTCCATTTCCAGTCTACCTCCCTGCTAGTGCACCTGGGAAGCAGCAGATGATGGCCCAATTCCTTGGGACCCTGCACCCACGTGGGAGACCCAGGAGATGATCCTGGCTTCTGACTTTGGATGGGCCCAGCGCTGGCTAATGAGGCCATATGGATGGACAGTGCTCTAGCAGGTAACAGACTTCTTCCTCCCTCCCTCCTTTTCTGTAAACTTTGTCGTTCACACAATAAATCTTCACACACACCCACCCACCCACATTCTTTCTGAGTGAAAAGTCCTGAGTCTTAAATAAGGGTAGTCAGGAAAAAGCAGCATTCTTCAGACTCATTGTCTAATACCTCTCAGTATTAAGAGCATATTTGTCTCCCTGATGAGGAGCCCGTCTGGAAGGAGAGAGGGGGCCAGGGGCACAGGAACACCAAGAGAGCACAGGAAAGGAGCCTGATGTTACTGAGCTTAGTGTAGCTCTAACTGAAGCAGCACTACCCTACTCACACCTGGATTACAGGGGTCAAGTCCCAACTGAACTCAAGAGGTTGTGAGGTGTCTGAGTCATCCTAGAAAAGCAGAAGGGGGAATGCTGGGGTGTGGGAGGAGGAGGAGAGAACAGTAATGGGAAAGATTCAGAGGCAGAAAAAGGGAAGAGGTGCTATCCAAAGTCAATTCTTCCTCAAGCACAAAGGACTGATCCACACTGACAAAAATGAGAGTTACTGCACTTCTAGACTCAAACACTTTTTTTTTTTTTTAAATAAACATTCAGGGGCTGGAATCCAAAGATACTCTCTCCTTTTCTTAGCTGACACACGGGGACACAGTGTTCTACCTAATCTGGTGCCCAGCAGAATACAGGACTAATCTGAGGCGTTCCTGATGAGGTCAGAGATTGCATCCAAATTCATCCCAGTGTGCACACTGGCAGGAAGTGGAGCACTGACTCCATCCAGCCTCGACTCCCCACAAATTAACCCCTGGGAAAAGTAAACAGGTGACAATTACCTTCAGACTGCCCAATGGGGCTGGTTACCACTGGAACTTTTATAGACTCATCTTGGAAAAAAAGATTTAAAAAAAAACCACTTAGGACAATAATGGAATGGTGCATCAAGTATGGCAGGAGAATGAATACAGAGCAAGCTGGGTCAGAGGTCTGGTGTTAGTAAGTGTACAACTGTCAAGAAAACATGTTAACTTCTGAAGTGAAGGGTTCTTATCTGTGACACATGGGTGGTGATGATAAAACAGCAACAATATGCTGGACTCAGAACCCTAACCAAGAAAAGAGAGAAGACAGAACAGGTCAACCAACCATCTCAGCTATATCTTGGCAGCGAAACACGGGGCAAACAGAGACTCTATGATGGATTTTTCAACAACCTCATCGT